ACTATGAGGTTAATATTTGTTTATCAATATAGTTGGCTATGATTTGCTCTCTTTTAGAATTATTTGGAACAAAGTAATGTGATTCAAACTCGAAGATATATAATTTCTGTACAAAAAACATAAATTAAAAGTTAATATACTGAATTTAAAAACACTTCCTGTACTTATGTATCTATTATCGAACACTATTCGATAATAGATCATTATTCTACTTTTTTAATGGTCATGTGCCAAATCGAATAGAAGTAATATGGGACATTACTCTAACAAAACCTCAAATTTTTTATATTCTACACTAAAGTTCCTCTCGTAATATGTAATTTGTTTTGGTATTTCTGATATAAGATTAAAAATCTTTATAACTATGTATATTAGATAAAATAATTGTGTTATATAATATGGTCAAATTATTCTTATATGCCTCAGTTATGCGATACTTAACCATAGCTGGGAAGACCACAAAAGAAAGTTAAATTATAAGTGGCGTTGGCTATGGCGGGGGCAACACTAAATTTTTATAACTTCATTTAGCATATAAAAACAGCAGAATAGAGTGCAGCGATTATGCTAAGCCAAGAACGCAGATAACTTCATACAAAACTGAAGTGAATAAAGCAGCAACACTAGTAATCATGGCCATTCTGATTCAAAGATATAAGCGATCTGATATGAAACAAATACCTGAACGCACGTACATATACCGCCGAACAAAGGTGCAGGCACGAGCAACTATAATAGGAGCAAAACCAAAATAAAGCAGAAACAACAACAATACAAGGAATGTAGCGATTCTACGTTACATATATAAAAAAGTGGTTCTGAGCCATTATTGTTTCTGTTGGTCAAGTTAACGTATTTCTTTGTGACCATAATTTATATGTGCGCTAGACCGCAACCTTTTGGTTGAAAATAAAATAAAGTGGGGAAAAAATTAAAATAAATAAATATGCTTTATAAGGTACTAGTAATCGCATAAAGCAGAAACAAAAAGTATTCAAACAAACCACAATGTGCGCAATGTGCAACACTTGCAACCGCAAAGATATTGAATTTCAAGCGTCTAACGATTATAATTATGAAGTTGTGCATCACTTGCATTGCCGCAACGGCTGCAGCAGGAGACTGCCACAATCGAAAATTAACAGAGTAACAAATGCAGTAGAAGAACAGCATTTTTGCGCTTATGAATCATATTTGTGCAGCCAGCAATCAAACCAGCTACACGGACTTCAGATCTGAAAACATTGCTGGACTGTCTTCAGCTGGCCACAGATTCATGCAGCAACACGTACCAAAAATACATTTTTCTACTGCTATACACCGCTAAATGATCAATTGATAATAAAGTATTGCTTACCCTGCTTAAGGCTGAATCATAGCTCATGTGCATGTATGTTTAATTTCTTACTAGAAGTTACTGCATAATTACTATTTATTGCCAGCTATCTGAGAGAATACATCTTTGATTTGGGTTAGCAGCACAGGAATTTTATGTATGTACCGTGGAGTATCGCATGAATGGTACACCGTGCAATGCATTCAGTTGCTGTATCTTCTCCATATGATGGCAGACACGTATGCATCGATATGCTGGAACGCTTATTGATGGCTCGAATATTTGATTTGTTACTCTAGGGTATCGTCTATATTATTGACCACTTGATCCTGTAGATATCATTAATTTCTGTATAAAGTATCAACTTCATTACAGCACGTTGACTTGCTGAATGTTCTGCACACTAGAATTTCCAGGAAAATATTTTAAGTATATGAAGTATACGAAACCCAAATTTTATATTTATTTGATTAAAGTTTAGTTAAAAGGTGATTTCTGAATTCTAAAATTAGACATTTTTGAAGTATGGTATGTATATGTATATAATAGTGTGAAAATTTCAAATGATATGTCATATTATGAATTTCGGATAACTACGATAATTCCATTATTAATTGATTATTATAAATGAAGTCATATTTTCATAATGTATTGCAATAAATTTAATTTTACTGATATTAAAAATCTGAGCTTCAATGAGTTCTTTATCTAATAATAGTTAAATGTGTAATAATTATTATAATTATATGAATATGTTATAATTACAATTTAATAATTCTATATAGGTATTATAATGATAATTAACAAATCTAAAAAACTTTGACTGCACAAACATATCATAGATGTATAGCCTGTCACATGATATATTATTCGATATTTCTTGCTAGTTTGTTGAAGTCTACTCTGGATTCGACATATATGGTTCCTTTCCAAAGAATTGTAGAGACCCTGGAAAATATCCGGCAACGCCCAAATTTAATGTGTACAATTCATTCGTATACTAAAATCTCGTTTTATTGAACAATAACTTCAAAACCATTGTTGTTTAGTATATGTCTGATATCTATAATTATGTTATTGAAATGCTATACATCAAAACATATAGCATTTTAAATAATTGTGATATCAGTTACATAGCCAAATAATGTAGTGTGTGAGAGAAAATTCAGTTTCAGAGTGCCATCAGACATGACGTTCCAAACAGTTAGTAGAGCTAGTACTAATCCTGGAAGAACACTTTTTGTAATTCTAGTTATTTTATCAAGAGAATGTAAGTATGATTATTTCAAAATAGCTTTCAATTATTTTATTTAATTATTCAAGTACTCTAAGCAATTCCTGATATTTGTAGAGAACGATACTTTTCTTTATTTACAACATTATATCCAATATGCGGATTGGATTATACCATCTTCTTGATATAATCAGCTCTGGCTGTTTATCTGTGTTCAATAGAAGAACAAACCGCTGCTTCTTTCATGCATCTGTTGATAGATTTATATTCAAGCAGTTTATAAACAGCTTCGAGAAAATCTTTTGCTTATACAGGGTTATGGAAGTGTTTACTCTGCTATAGCTCAAAGTTTCCAAACAGGTGATTGGGATGATATCTTGAATATGTGACATTGGAACTGTTGGATACAATAGCGTTATCTATTGTTTTATTACTCATATACATTATATAATTAAAATATGAATTTGCTTTAAAGTTACAACTACCTTCTTTTTTGCACGGAGGTAATTAATGTTGAAAAGTATCTTCGAAGCGAATAATTAAAAATAATAAAATAAAAAGACAATAAAAGGAACAATTAATTTTTTACTAATAAAGTTCCCATTTTTGTATATGAAAAATCAATATAAATTTAAATAATTATAAATTCTTCAGAATAAGCGATATCATATCCTAAAAAAATTCAAAAGGTACAAAATGATTTATTTGTTGTTAATTAAATGCTTAAGAATTAAAAGCAACAAGTTTGCTGCAACATTGTTGATAAAGAAGGTGTTGCCGTACCAAACGATGTTCGGCTATAAACTGAAAATGGTTATGAGTAAGTACAGTAATTAATGATGCTACAGAGACCGGTAAGTTAACGAATTCCAATTTAAAATTTTTACTGGTAGAAATAAATTTAACAAAATTACTTGTTTGTCAAGGGTTAAGTACTCTGCATTTTTATTCGCTATGTAAAACAGTAACTACACAGTTGAAAGGGTTTAAGCGATTGTAATTAATTTTAAAAACTGCAGTTTAATGAAAAATGTTCTGGAAAATGAGCTACAATAGAAGAAATTTTTTTATAACGATTTATGTTTTGTTAGTTTTCAAAACAGAAATGCATTATGTATATCCATATTCGTTAGATATATTCAATTTATAGAATAATTTATTAAAAATGTAAAATATGTTAGGAATAAAATGTTTATTGCGTTTCTAAGAGTACTACTAGGTGCACTGAAATGAAAGTTGAGTGAATAAAATAATTTGATGAGTAAATTTAACTTGAATTTTTGATTCCGAACACTTTTTTGTCCAATAATAATAAGTAAGTTCATTTGATACCTAATTATACCTCATATACCTAAAACAATCTTTTCGCATATTAAATTGTTCAATTAACAAAAAATCTGAGCTCAAATTTTTGACTTCTACTTGCATCACCCAACATCTTCGCGAAAAGGATATACCTATTTAAGAACATTGGTGGTACAGCAATGGTTGATATTAAAAGGTTCTGCTCACAATAAGCAACTTCAAACATATAAATTATGTTTGATAGCCAATTTATGACCTTTATTTGTCTAATAGATGTCTCTATGAAGGATATTCCCTTATTGAAACTGAGGATTCTATGTGTGAAATGCAAGATAGAGTAATACTCACTGATTTTTGTTTTTAACATACACTGAAAGACTAAGCAAATAAAAATCTGTGTCAAAACTTTAGACTAGCTCTTGAAGCACTGGATTACATTATTGATAGCCCTGCTATTATGACATCAACAAAACTATAGTGTTTGTAAAATTCACCACCAAAGTTTTGGTCAAAAACAAGTTCTATATATCAATATATTGACTTTATTGAAAGATTTTCGAATTACGGCATGAGTAGCTACCGAGATGTCATATTAAAATATATAATAATAACAAAAATAATGGGTCCAAAAGAAGCATGTATACAATTTGTAAATAAAACATAGATTTCAATTAAATCCTAACAATCCATAACTTAATAAGTTTTTTCGGGTATTGTTATTAGTATAAGAATTTTTGAGTACCTATAAATCTCATCAATACGGTCAGTAAAGCTTATGTTACCAGTCTTAATATATCATAACTATAACAATAAGCTTTTGGAATAAACTTTTAAAGAAGTATGTATACAATTTGTACGTAAAACATAGATTTCAATAAAAATCCTAACAATCCATAACTTAATGAGTTTTTTCGCGTATTTTTAATAGTATAAGAATTTTTTGAGTACCTATAAATCTCATCAATACGTTTAGTAAAGCTTATGTTATCAGTCTTAATATATCATAACTATAACAATAAGCTTTTGGAATAAACTTTTAAACTGTCAAACATAATTAATCGTTTATGCTTTGATATTGATATCAAAATTCATATTTAAAAAAAAACATAGATATTAATTACTGATGAGTTATTCTTATTTCCTGTTTAAAATTTTACGACACAGTTTCAAAAAATTAGCTTGACAAAATGTTAAAGCCAAAGAAATTATTTAATTTTCAAATATTTCGTTATGTGGACACATTTCGCCATGCAGTTTATATTGATTATAAGGAAGGTTCCAAAGAACGTGATCTACTTAAAGCTGCATTGAAGACTGTGATCGAAACTCAATATAAAATTCCACTTATAGTGGGTCCGGAGAAAATAATGAGCGGCGATCAACAATTGCAGTACATGCCACATAATCACCGCCAACCTATTGCCGAGTTTTATAATGCCAACGCGCGTCAGGTTAAGAAGGCAGTTGATTCAGTACGATATATACATAGCATGTGGAAAAATGTTAGCCATGAGGAACGAGCCGCAATATGGAACCGAGCAGCTGATGATATTGAAACAAAGAGTCGTCACATTCTAAACGCTGCCAACATGTTAAGCCAGGGGAAAACCTATAAAGATGCGGAAGCAGACACTTGTCGGCTAATCAATGGACTAAGACAATATGCAGTTGCAAGTGTGAATATTTCTAAAAAAGAGCTTAAAAATGAAAACCCTACCAAGGTAAAATCGACTTTTTATCTTCGTCCAATCGATGGGTTCGTTGTCGCTATAGCGCCAAATAATATGACTTCGATATCACTACAATTAGCTGCCATCCCTGCTTTAATGGGTAATTGTGTGCTCTGGAAACCATCGCGGCGTAATACGCTCTCCAGTTTTATAGCGTTTCAGGCGCTACGACATGCGGGCTTACCAGATGGCGTCATCAATTTTCTGCCAATGAATAGTCAATTTTTTTATAATTGCTGTAGATCATATGAAGACTTGGCAGGTATAAATTTTAGTGGCACTACACACTATTTTCTAACAATGTGGGAGAAGGCATTGATGTTTGTATCAAACCGCCGTGGTATGCCACGTGTTCTTGGTGAGATGAGTTCGAAAAACTTTCATTTAATACATAATTCGGCTGACTTAAAACGTGCAGCTGAGGATACAGTAGAAGCAGCATTCACACATTCTGGACAAATTTGTTCTTCATGTTCTCGACTTTATGTGCCAAAATCTATTTGGCCTGATTTTAAAACATACATGTGCTTAAAATTATCAACTCTGAAAGTGGGAGATCCAGCAAATTTTGACTGTTTTACTTCTGCTGTTGCCGGCAGAGCTGTGTACCAATATATTCTTAGCTATATAAAGTCTGCACACAATAGAAAAACTACGAAAGTTATTTACGATGGAGGTTATAATGACACATGGGGATACTTTATTGAACCGACAATAATTAGATGCGAAGATCCTCTTGATCCATTAATGAAGTATGAAATCAATGGGCCAGTACTTTCTGTATATGTTTTCGACGAATCCGATATGGATAAGGTTTTTGACTTAATTTCGAATACGTCACGTTATGCATTTACTGGTTCGGTATACGCAACTACTGAGGACTTTATTGAATGCGCTAAAATGAAATTAGTTAACGCTTGTAGTAATCTATTTATTAATGGTAAATGCACTGGTTCAGTGCATGGTAAAGTTCTTTTCAGTGGTACTAGATATTCCGGTAATAAAAACCGCTCCAATGTTTCAAATAATTTGTTTAACTGGTGTTCACCACAAATGGTTGAAGAAACGTTTGAAGAAAAACCAAAAGGAGAGAAGAAACCGGGAAAGGCAAATGACATTTGCGCAGCTATTAAGGCTAAAGCTGCGGGAGCAGGTGTTGCAGCAAAAGATGCTAAAGGGACAGGTGCAGCAGCAAAAGATGCTAAACCCCCATGTGGTGCAGCGAAAGATGCTAAAGGAACTGCTCCTCCTGTCAAAGCAGGAGATGCTAAAGGAACTGCTCCTCCCGTCAAAGCAGGAGATGCTAAAGACCCATGTGGTGCAGCGAAAGGTGCTAAGGGGACAGGTGTAGCAGCAAAAGCTGCTAAAGACCCATGTGGTGCAGCGAAAGATGCTAAAGGAACTGCTCCTCCTGTCAAAGCAGGAGATGCTAAAGGAACTGCTCCTCCCGCCAAAGCAGGAGATTGTAAAGGAACTGCTCCTCCCGCCAAAGCAGGAGAGGCTAAAGACCCATGTGTTAAACCAGGAGATGATAAAGGAAAAAAATAATACATTTGTAATTTAATTAATTTTTAATGTGAAATATGTATTTATTTAGTAAAATTTAATAAAATATATTTTATATACTTTTGCGTATACAGATAAATTAAAGTGACAATAGCCGATCCGGACATCAATGATATTGTAGACTTCTTGAGCTGCCAAACGTTACATGGTTTTTTTTGAATAATATAATAATATCTGAGATGTATATATCAGTTCATTCTTTAGAACTATTAAAATTAAAAGCTGCAAATGCAAAAACCAATTATTCTACTAGAGCACACATATATCTCTTTTACTTTAAGCAGAAGCAGACACAATCTGCTAACGTTGGTCATTACAGATCTATGTATGGCGTTTATGCTTGCAACAGGATAAGGTAAATTAAGTAGCAACTTCTGTAGAAGCTGTCAGTATGAGACAAGTTACGAGCCTCAATTTTTAAAAGAAATCACAATCCGTTTCTTTCAAAGCAATTAATTAATCTCTTGCGCGTTTACTACTTTGGGAAATCAGCACAGGTGAGTTAAATTGTGTTTCATGAGTATATGCAGTTTAGGAAAATCGGATGTATGTATCGTTTGAGGAGTCGGCCACACATGTGCTGTTAGAACGCGCTGCGCTAATGCACGTACGGAATAGACTCCTGGGAATGTATATTCTTACGGAAGAGGAAATAAGACTCTGTAAAGTAGGTTCTATACTACTTTTTATTGATGCAACAGGGTTAAGAAACCTATTCTAAACCCTGAAGGGAGCACAATAGACCCGACGGTTGAAGTGCCACATGCCCTAACAATAATATTAATAATCGTTTAAGTTGGAACTGCCATTGTAATAATGATAGACAAAAGTTATTTGTTGATATAATCTATATTTTAATATAATTTATTTATAACTTATAATGTAGGGATATTGCTATTTTATTTTATGGTAAGAGAAGGAGAATAAATCCAATATGAGAGAGTTATAGTATTGTTATTTTATTTGGTTATAATGTGCCATTATATATTAGACGTATATATTTTTTCATTTTGTTCTAAATTATTCATGTCTTGAACGTTATCTAGTAATTCACTTTCTGCATTCTTGATAGAAAAAAGTGAAAGATTTGATGCTTTTCTTAATTCAACTAAGAAAAGTGAAAGACTCTTAATGTGATTTCACATCTGCAGATGGAATTTGAAACTATCTTAGCAAATATTTGTGTCACATAAGTCACGCTCAGAGCAGTGAATGTAGGCTACGGATAGAAGCAGCACACAAAATACTAAAAATGATTATTTTTATCTTTTTTATTCTCTTACAATATTATTTTGCATATGTTTTTGCATATTAAAATTGAGAATAATTTAATGGGCCATAAAAAATTTATTTGACATAAAATTATAATGAAGTCACTCCTCGGTACGAGTAGTTGTTGAGGGTATGTCACACAACGAACTCACGACCAAAAACAGAATTCTGGAATTCATTCGAAGGTGTGCGATGAGATGGAAATCGATGTTGAAAGTGCATATACTTGTTTAGTGCAGAATAAAGCAACTAAAGCAGCAGGAGTTTCTACACTTTGTGTTGTGAAGTAGTGCTCCAAACTTTACTGTTATGATGTTTGCATTTGAAAATCATTTAAAATCCTGAATGAGTACTTTTAGAGCTTTGAATTGAATATTATGCATATGAGATACTAGTATCTACAAACGGAAGCGTGTGAGCACTTCAGTAACGTAACACAACAGCACAGGAGTGAAGAATTGGAGAGGGTTTCTAAGAGTTCGCATGGAAGAATTTTGCAAACGAAAGTAAAGTAAAGTAAAGTTAAGTGAATTTTGGTAAAATATTGAAAATAAGTGTGAGAAGAATGAAGACGATGAGTTTGATAAGTACTGCATGACAAACTGATGCTAAGATGAGTTCAGTGTCATGCAGTCTCAAAACTTCATTAGTGCCAGGTTGAAGGCAAAACCGAATTATAAGTTAAATTAGCAAAAAATGTTTATATGTTAAATTTTAATTTAAAAAAAAAAAATCAAAAAAAAAAAGAACCAAGAAAAGAAAATAATATTAATAATAAGAAATTATCAGATATTCTATTTTTAAAGAGCATTCAATTTGACTTCGTCATTCAATGCAAAAGAGGAAAAGGCAAAAAATCAGAAATCACGGCACGTCGTGACAACAAATCCAGTGGAACGAATAGTGAAATGATCAATTTCTTAAAACTGCAAAAAATATAACTATAAAACAAAAAAAATCTTTAAAAGAAATGCTAAATAAGTTAAGGAAAAGTAACTTAGGTTGATTTCATTATTTAAGACCTCTTAGCACATCCTTGGCTTGTGTGCTGCATTGCTGTTGCTTTTTGAGTTGCATTGAAAAGTCACTTCAGCTATTTGTTGATGAAGTTGCTCTACACCTTTTGCAACTACTGCCATTGCTATTGCTACTGCTGCTGTTGCTGGTGTTGTTGCTGGTATTAATGCTGTTACTATTGCTGCTGTTGCTGCTGCTGCTGCTGGTGATGTACTTCTCCGCATACGTACGTGCTGATGCAGAAGCACGTATTTACTGATAGCTGGCATGCAGTGCTCCTCTATGATGAATTAGTCGCTTGCCATGTCATGACAATGTAACTGGCATGCAATTTTCTTCCTCAAACTTTTTCCCGAATCTGCCATAAACAAACTGCAACCATAAAAATATCTTGCGCTAAATGAGCAGCTCAATTGACAAATCGTTCATTTGTTTCTTGATAATTTTGTAGCCTTTGGAACAATTTTTCGTTGTCGTGTACTGCAATAAGTAACCCGGTGTCTTATTTATTATGCAAATAACGTGAGTGGGTGAAATGTGATTAGTTCTGCTCGTTGTTTGTGGTCGATACTTGTTTAAAAGATGCCAAATTAAATTAGTAGGGAAACCAAAAAACAAACAAAAAAAAAAACAAATAGATAAAAATAGTGTTTTTGTACTAAAGGCATAAAAATCATTAATTCAATATCACATAAGCACAGTATCTCTGCATTTTATTAGACTGGCTCTTTTGTTTTTAATTAAAATTTTATTTTAATTTGTTGGCTTGAATAATAATTATTTGTCATTTATATTTTGCTTATTAAATCTATTGTTTAAAGAAACAACAACATATCATACGTGTTGCACATATAAATTTTTTGCTTAAATAAAGAGAAATCCTTTTTCTAATTCCGAAAAGCAATAAAGGACACTACGTGACCGGCATGCCCACAAGCGTTGTATCGGAGTTCTGTTGGCTTTTTTGCAGGAAAATGTTTTGTATGACACTAAATTTGATGACCGCTACAAATCAATACGTGGCAGCCACACTAGGTGAAAGTATTCCGGTGTACCTAGTACATGATCCTCTCTCTTAAATGTTCTTTTTGTTGTTGGTTTGGGTTTATTTTGTTTACGGAAATTACGAAACTCGTAAAATAGTTGTTATTACGTTACGTGTACGTTTTGGTTACGCAAAAAATTCAAAGCAAAAACGTCGGTTTCATTTATGGCTTCTTTGCTCTTTTTTGGGGTTAGAAATTTAAGATAGAAATTACTTTACAATGCTCCATATTGTGGCTAATCAAAATTTTTTATTAAACTGTAAAAAGCATTTTGATTAAACATTAATCTTCGTAAATCGTAAACCAAAAAAGCCTGTAGTACGTGCTCTCTGGAAAGTAAGTCAATGTTGACAAATTTTGACATTTTGATTTGATGAGAAAAATAGTGAAGGAAAGGTTAGTGTTTGCAGTGTATTAATAATAAATTGAGAAATTATTTATGGAAAGCATATAAATATTATAATATAGAAGATGAAAATTGAGTTCGCTTAGTTTTCCTTAGATTTTAAAGAAGATTTTTAGAATAGTAGCTTATCACAAAAATACTGATACTAGTATAAAATATTTCTACGGAAGCTTTAAGGTCATATTATATAATTGTTATTCTAAAAATGGGTTCCGTTTTTATAAATTCAAAGGTTTTTCGGAAATATATGATAAGTTTTATTCACTTATTATTTCAAAGAGAGGCTTCGAAAAATAGTGAATTATAACAAAAATTGCAATTCTTAAATCAACACATACGATTAAGATTTAAGGTTACAAAAAAAAAAGTCTTAGAAACACACCTGGAGAACTGTGAGCTATCCTAGCTATCAACGGCAGCGAAAAGTTTTATTACACAGTAGAATTTTATGGGCTGCGATATCGCCTCTACCGCAGCAATATATTTTTATCTTCCATTTCTATAATATAATTTTCAAACCCTTAAAGTCATTATATGATTTTGTATAACATGAAAAACTATAATCTATAATCTTGCATTTTTTCTAAACATTTAAAACATCATGGAGAGACTAATTTATTAATTTATATCTATTTTTAGATGTTTTCTTAAATTTTGCGTCCAGTTGAAGACGTGTTTCCTCATCCATGTAGAAGTCGAGAAAAGTTAGAAGAATAAATGTTTCCTATTTTTCTAGAGAAGGTCCAGGTTCTATTTTCTTCCGTGTGGAAATCTAGAAAAGAAAGATCAACAATTATTTTTCTTTTATTTTGTATATGAAAGCTTATGTAACTTTTATAGAATAAGTAAGTAAACTTTCATAAGTTATAACTTGCATAAAATGTTTAAGTCTATAATAAGTAGAATAAGACCAAACAAAATAAATAATTACTTTCCTTTTAACCATATAAATTAATTTAATTTTCTTGAAAGCTATTTTTTTTTTGTATTATTTCTTTTATTTACAGTTAGTAGGACCGAGGGTCTCGAGAATGCATTCAAAGCACGTGCCATACAGTGCTGAAATATAGATGACGTTGTTCACTGATCAGACACAATTTTTACAATCTTTATTTTTCTGCAGATTCTTTATACGATGCCAGCTTAGCGGTGCTATATTATTTATTAAGAAGTACATAGAAAGAATCTGTTAAGACTACACAAAGGTTGATATGCTTGGGTTTTAATCTTTAAGATTTCTGTTTT